CCCCCACCCAAACCACTACAATTTCGGGATGCCTCTAATAGCATTACATTTAGGAATAAAGACTTATGAGTTTCGGTGCATTTGTGCTTGTGGGGGGCCATTATGTTACCACTATGCGGTATCTAGTTCAATAAATAAGTAAATGCAATTTTTTTAGCCATTTTCTGGCTCTAGMTTGTTTCTGACCCTCAAGGTTCAGCTCTGCAGCAGTCTCCTCCGGTAATCCACAGGTGTACACTAGCATTAGTGCATGGTGCATTTAAAGACAGCTCGGAAAAGCATGTTCTTGTCACGATTTGGTAGAACTCAAAGTGCAGGCAGACTCAATGACTTGAGTGAAACCACAAAAACTATAGAATAAATAACAAAAGGAAGAAGCTGACATGGCAGCAAAATACTAAAAGTAACAGTGATAGCAAAAGACCATGGATGAAGTCAAGGCTTGAAGCAAGAAAGGCAATGATCCACTGGGGCAATGAAGACATGACACTGGTTAAATACAAATGAGGATGATTGGGAGAGGAAGCACCTGGGTGATTACAGTTTATGGACAGGTGAGAGTGGCAGGCTGGACAAACACTGTGAAGCTACTGAGGATAACRTTACAGGAAACAGAAAGCTAACAGGAAATGAGAAAATAAAACAAGAGTATCAAACAATGAAATAGTCTGAAAAATACAAAGAAAAAAGAACCACAACGCAAGAATCATGACAGTTATCACATCTTAATAACAGATTAAACAGTTGTCATGGCTGTAAAAAGTGCAGGGAACAGAGGGAACGGACATGGGAACGGTACGGGACATGTCCCGTACCTGTTACACCCATGCCTGCTACTATGTCTGTCACAGCTTAACATGAGATCAGCTGGAACATGTTTAAAAAGGTCTGCGAGAGCTGCAGAATTTTTATTTAAAAACATAATTTTCAAACTTGTAAAATCATTTACTTCCTGTATTGTTTGTGAGGCTGTCAATCTGTCTGCCTTTAAGACTCCAGTTAAGGTTGGCTTGGGTTTAGCTATACCTTAGTTTTGCTGCTTCGWCTACTGGAACACAAACTGGTCACATTTTCTCRCTCTGCTGCTGTCTTATGGGCTCGGCACACAGAGAGTGACAAACACCGGTGATTAATGGCTGTCATCGCAACCAGGGTGAAACCAAACACACTGGAGGCAATAGCAATGGCAGCGATGTGAATCTTGCTCTCAGGTCATTTGTCTTCAAGGAATTTGATTATTTATTGTACTGCTTCTTGTAATGTTTATTGGTCGATGGAAAAAAAAGTAATAAAAAGAATGGTGTGTATTACACGTGTAAACTTAACAAATCTTGCAATGCTAATTATATTGAAAAACAAACACACACCAAGACAAAATTTTATAAGGAAAAACACATCAGACAACTTCTCCCTGTCGCCATCAAATTCCCATACGGCTGCTTTTTTTGTGTTATCACATTGTGAAGTGTCCTATAAAACTGGACCGTTTGACAGAGCTAAAATAATGCTGGAGGTGTTAGCTAACTGCAGTGTGTAGAATACTCTCTGCTCATTGGTCAGTCAATGAAACCTTCACTGATTGGTTGTAATGCCATGCGATAGCAACAAAAAATGAAAACTTTTCAATTTACACATATCGTGTCGCAAGTTTGCATGTGCGTCTACGAGTGCAAAATTTCACATGAACAAGTTTCGCTGGTCACTTGGCTGGAGCAGGGCAAGACATTCTTACCTCATCATACAAGTTCCATAGAGGCAGAGATGTCGCCTCCTGTGTGTCAAGCCCATTACATGCTCTACTCTCCATGGCCTCATGCAAGAACATGTTCGTATTCTTATCCTAAATTTCTCTTACTTTTGTTCGTACAAAGGGTTCGTACGAACATGTCACGTCAGATTCAA